AACGCAATAAACACGTTGTTTTTTTCTTGAGTAGCGTAAAACTGATTGTGAACTCTGATTTGCCCATGTTATATCGGGTGGAATTGATTTTGAAAGAATTTTAGCTTTCAATCTAAAGACTGCATCTATCGTCAGAAAGTATTTACTTACAAACAAAGAGGTGCTAATTTTACAAAATTGACTTGTATTGTTCAAAGCCGCTACCACATCACGCGACTATGTCTATTGTTTACAAATTATTATCCACGACTGGCAGGATGCGTGTCGGTCGGTACGTAAGTATAATAACAATATAAGAATAGTCCTGGTCGGAAGCGTTTTAGTGGTGTTCCCTAATTTTGAGTGCCGGTCAGGCCAACCAGCGTGACGAGATCCCCCAATGAAAAGCAGCACTGTGGCGGTCTTGCTAATCACCGTGGCGGTGTCAGACCAGTGTGGCGGCAAATCGAAGCACTGTGGCGGGACCGCCACGCTGTTTACATCCTGGGGAGAACACTGCGGTAATATGTAATCTATGCAATACTGAAGTTCAGCAAATGAAACAAAAGTTCTGTCAATTTTGCAGCTATTTGCTATGTTCCTTCAAGTTGTTTTGTCAGCAAAATTTGATTTAAAAACTCAATGTCAATATGTGTACTGTAACAAGACATTGTTAATGACATATTATGCAATTACAGGAAATGTTTTTCATGCCCAAGATAAAGTTAGAGGCCAAAAAGCAATATGACTACAAGTCTGTCGTATTATTTGATCACAAATATAATTGTTATGGATATGCATTGCTATATGCATAATATATTCAAATCACTTGTCATGTGACCAGGTGAATTGAGAGTAAATAGACTAATCTAGTATCAACAAAAAATAGATTTATTAAATGATTTTAATAATAATTTAAGGACAATGAAGCACAAGACAAACATGAACATGTACTATCAATAACATACAAATTTTTTTTTGAAAAATATACAGCTTGGAGTGTCAGTTTAAGTTTAATCAAATATGCATCTCAGGAGGAAATCCTGCCATTCATGAATTTATTTGCAACCAGACTCTACTCGCTTATGTTATCCCACATGGTCTAAATGTGTGATTTTGTTTATATTTATTATTTTTTTTTAAATTTTTTGACTATGCACATTTGATACAACCTTCAGAAGATATTCCTTCAAATAAGTACAGGCGTGTATTATGATGTATGTGACCAAAATATAATAAATAATACAAAAATAATACTTTTTCAAAAAAACAAGATGGCTGTCAGTTGGCCATTTTGATCCAAACAAAAATGAATCTTCATAGACTTATATCACAACAATGCATGAGATTGATATGTGTAGATTTTTTGATGAACAAAGTAAAAATAAATGAAATGAAAAACATATTTCCGATAAACAGAATTATCTTATAATCGGTTCTATCTAAAAATTCTAGACATACCCACTGCTGCTTCATAATGTGGTCTAATCTTGGCTCTGATGGCGTACTAAAAACAACCCTAATCCGTGGCTCACCTTTCCTATCCACCTCTATAACCTGTGAAAACAAACCATGGTGAGAATATTTACTAATATTATACATCTGTCACTGGAACGCCATAATTTGCAGCATGTCGTAATTTTGCGGTATTCTACAGGGTATTTACGAGGTAATAATAAAAAACAAACATTGCTGCCACCAGGGTTTGACCGGACTCCACACAAAGAAGTTCGCTGATTCTGTTCTGTTCCCATGATGTACCCTTGGTAGGAAAAGATGTACAATAATAAGGTTATTACG